TGCTGGTACTCTGCTCATTTCTGCTCAATAAAGTTATTTCTCGCTTAAATGCGCCTCACATTAATCGTGTGCCGTGCTCCACAATCATTGCGCCGCGCGCTCTTCCTTCTTATCGGCCCCCTTGAGATCGTATCCACCAATATCTATTTGCTTCTAAGCTCTAATGACTTGTAGAGAAACAATTTTAGAGCGTTTAACAAAATAATTGCATAACCTATGAGTGATGGGAAAAGCCCAATCGTCCAACTCATAAAAAACATTGGGACACAAACAACTGGAAACTGTTGGTAGTTGCTACTTTCGCGCATAGGCGGCGGAACGGGGAGGGCACCGGGGCACCGTGTCCCCCTTTGATTTTGGCATTTTAACATGGGCTCTATGGGCGTTACATGGAAAGAATGGGACCAAAAGTCGGCAGTGCCCCCCCCCCTTCCCCAGTTGAGCTGGGCGCAGGTACTAAATAGCATCAAAGGAAATCCTATATTTATCTCGCCGCATTTAAGCGCACCAATCGAAAGACGACAGCGTGACCGCGCTGACAGGCAATCAACCTGGCCACATAAAACTAGCTAGTGCAAGGAAGATGTCTATATAAACCACTGGACCATGCAAAGCGTTCATGTAAATAAATATGAGTAAAGACGACCCGTTTGAGAGCAGACCGGCCAAACAGTGACGTTACACGCGGATCTCAACAATCACAACCCATTCATCAAAAAAGATCTCGTGGATCCCTATATACGTCATAACTAGCCCTAGTACGGGGGTATATAGCCATTAGAGGTGGCAAAAGATGAAAATTTTGGGAACCAGACTCGAACCAGACCCGGCTGAACATTTCTGGAACCAGTCGGACCCGGTCTTAGTTGGAACCGGAACCAGTTGGACCCGTTCCCCAAAAGTCAATTAATACAAACTACTTGTAGGAATCATTAGTTGCATCATGTAAAACAGCCTATTTCCCACTGGGAATACTCATGAGCTATTGTGTGCAAAGTAACATTCACTTAATTCCCTTCATATTTTGTAATAATGTGTAGTGTGCAAGATGTATAGTTTATGGTAGGACCCGGTTGGACCCGTCAGAAAAATTTCCAGGAACCGGTCTGGACCCATATGGGTCCAGACTGGTTCTTTGGACCGGGTCCTCGGGTCCACATTTTGCCACCTCTAATAGCCATGGACGTAAATGGCCGGCTTAACCCGCGCCCTGCTGGGGGGGGGGGGGGGTGTTTGAACACCCCCCCCCCCTGTGGTTTTTCGCGAATATCTCAAAAACGGCGGCGCGGAGCGCCGCCGTTTTTGGTACACCTTATCATACATCAATTCTACACATGTTGTGAAAATTTCAGACCAAGATCATTCAAGGTCAGGTCACCAGTAGGGTTGTTCAAAAAAACCGAATTTTGGAAAAGTATATGGGCTCATGGCTCATGTGGTGCGGTATTCTTTTCTGAGTCCAATGATACCCTTTTTTCGGAAAAGTATTACTGCTAGGCGCTGCTCAAACGGCTTAAAGAGGACCATGTTACGCCCGCCGACCGGCCGGTGTCAATAAGGGCGAGAATTCGACGCCGCACGGTGGCGGCAGCGCCTTATTGGCACCGCGCGCCACGACATCTGCCGGGCGGCCGGCTGGCGGTGGGAAGTTATAAGTGCGTGGTCTTATTGCACACGATCGGGGTGAGCTATCCCATGTTTTCGGGGCGGAAAGTTTCAGTGCAGCATCGGTGCGTCTGCCACGGTGGTCTGTGTCGATGGTATAGAAAATAACTCAAGCAGAGCTCAGAAAAGAATGAATGATTCCGGGTAGTTGCCTCGAAATAATCCGTTTCAAGAATACAGCTGCCTTCTTAACGTACTGTATCACTTGTTAATTCTTCAAAAAGCAAGCTCTGAGCAATAACAGACTTCTTTGCATTGCTGTTGACAATTTAAGTTGCTTTTGGACGGTGGCTCGCAGCCCCAATATGCTGCCGCGTAACTCTTTTCCAACGACGAAACGGCAACTTAGCGAGAATCGAAAATTTAACGAAGTAGGTACAACAGGAGCTGGCAAGGCTCCTGCATTGGTCTATCCGTCATGAGTGACACACCGGGGTAATGTGTCACGTCAGGGCAGAGCTGTGTTCTATGCCGGGTCTGGATTCGGGTCTTGATCGGCATCGGTGGGCACGGCCGCCCTGGCCGGACTGCCGGCGTCGCTTATGCTCGAAGGATTGGATAAACGGCGCTTGATTTATAAGAGTAGGTACTCCGGCTAATGTCTCTACTCATGTCTCACTTCGTCACACTGTCAGGGTGGCCACTCTGTCATTCCCAGACATGTTATGTTTTCTTTCGACCCGCTAATCTAGGTTACACCTGGCGTCGATTCTGTTGCCCCAGCATCTGACATCAACGTATCTGAATAATGACATTGGTGACGCATATGCTCGTCAAAGCCACCCCCAAACTTGGGCCGATGACTGTCGGGTCTCCTCCATATTCTGTCCTTGTGCATACTGCATTGCCAGCCCCTGCTGTAAGTATATCGTGAATTTTCGATTCTCGCGAAGTTGCCGTTTCGCCGTTGGAATAAAGTTGCGCGGCAGCATATTGGGGGTGCGAGCCACCGTCAAAAACTAACGTAAATTGTCAACAGCAACGCAAAGAGGTGTGTTATTGCTCAGAGTTTGCTTTTTGAAGAATTAACAAGTGATACGGTACGTAAAGAAGGCAGCTGTATTCTTGAAACGGATTGTTTCGAGGCAACTACCCGGAATCATTCATTCTTTTCTGAGCTCTGCTTGAGTTATTTTCTATACCATCGACATAGACCACCGTGGCAGACGCACCGATGCTGCACTGAAACTTTCCGCCCCGAAAACATGGGATAGCTCACCCCGATCGTGTGCAATAAGACCACGCACTTATAACTTCCCACCGCCCAGCCGGCCGCCCGGCAGATGTCGTGGCGCGCGGTGCCGATAAGGCGCTGCCGCCGCCGTGCGGCGTTTAACTCTCGCCCTTATTGACACCGGTCGGTCGGCGGGCGTAACATGGTCCTCTTTAAGCCGTTTGAGGAGCCCCTAACAGTTAATACTTTTCAGTAAAAAGGGCATCATTGGTCTCAGAAAAGAATACCGCACCACATGAGCCATGAGCCCATATACTTTTCCAAAATTCGGTTTTTTTGAACAACCCTAGTCACCAGGTCACTCGAAGTGACCTCACCTCATAAAAAGTTTCAATGTCTGTCATAGCTACACCGAGTGACCGATCGCTTTGAAACTTTCAGCGATTGCTAAGAGCATTAGCATGTACAAAATGTATATCTCAGAATTTTGATATCGATGACCTAAGGTCAGGTCAATTTTGCGACCTCACCATTATAAGTCAATGGGAGAAAATTGAAATGCGCCTGTTTTGGACGAAAGACATTATAAACACTTCCAAACACTGAATTACAAGTGGTTTAGACACACTGAACATGAAAATGGTGTCTGTGACCCCTGTTTATGCCCTGAGGTCATCCTAGGTCACGAATGGTATCTAACAGTTTTTCGCAAATAACTTTTGATAGAGGCATGCTAGAGCGATGAAAACGCCTTAGATGTGTTCAGCTCGACGATACGGATCGACTGATATGCAACATGACCCTTTCCGGTCAGGTCATGACCTTGACCTGAGGTCAAATTTTCAAGTTGACCTTTCAAGGTCAAATTATAGTTCGTTCGATGCGTCTTGACGAGAGGAACACGATGCCGGTAAAAGTAAGCTCGTACAATGCTTGGGTCAAAAGTTATTGCAGAAAAACTGTTTCCGAAAAAATCGGCTATTTTTGCAGTTTTTGCCCCCTGCAGGCAAAACCGTTGACGTTAGGTCAAATCTGAGAAAATTACTCAGAAAGGGCGTTAATAGGGCTATCGAATGCGCTTTTCCGCGGCGCTGTAGCTCTATTGGTTCCCGAGTTATGCGTTGGCTTCTTGGAAATTTTCGACATTCGACCTGGAAATCGGCGAAAATTTGCCTTCAATGACCTCTGGTGACCTGACCTTTGACCTGACCAAAAAATTGACCGAAGTGATTTCCTCATTATTTTTGACGCTCTTTCGAACGCCGCCTTCCGCGTATCGCTACGTGGCCCAGGAGCCGAGTTAGAAGGGGGGGTGTTCAAACACCCCCCCCCCCCAGCAGGGCGTGGAAATCCAGGACCCCCAGCCGGGCGCGGGTTAAGGCACAGGATCCCAATTGTCATCCCCATTACGTGGTCCCCAGAAGTCGCCAGGCCGAGAGCCAATGGCAGTTAAGCACATCTTACACGTGCCGACAAACGTGACACAATGAATCCAATAATGAGCCCGCCAATAAGCCTGCCTAATTCTGCATGTAGGCTGCTATTTACCACCACGGCGGAAGGCTAAAACGCATCCATACAGCTCAACATAGGTGTCAATTTCCGCCGGGTTGGGGGTACTCAAGCTCTTTAAATTCCCCGCCGGCTCGGCTGGCTTGGCTTTGGAGCCCCAACAGACGGTGCGGGTCAGGTCACCGCTGAGGCGGCGGCGGATTTGCTGCGCCCGGGCAGTGGGCACCCTCAATTCGGTGAAAATCGACACCCTTGCAGCTCAACATGACAAAACGCTGCATACAAGCGCACGTCCTCGCATTTAATTGACGCATTTAACTGCGTCACTAACTTCGTACACTGTACAACACTGGTGAGATGACTGTCCGAAGGAAACTGCCGACTTTGGCTGGCAACATTCAGGGTTGGTGACTTATTTACTGGGTTCGGCTGGCTGACAGCGATGTGACTTCAGGACCGGTTGATGAACGGGCCATCCTAGCCCCATACTACAGGAGCCCAGCTGGTCTTGGCGAGCGGCGGCGACTGGACGAGGCTGGACCCCTACTACAGGAGCCCAGCTGGTGCTGACGAGCGGCGGTTACTGGACGAACGGGTCAGCCTGGACCCCTATTGCAGGAGTCCGGCTGGTCTTGGCGAGCGGCGACGACTGGACGAGGCTGGACTCCTACTGCAGGAGTCGAGCTGGTCCTGTCGAGGAAATAGTTCACCTTTAACATGGGATTTTAAACTGAGATAGCAGTCTGATAGAGCAGATTTGTGTATGCCCTATATTTGAACCGTTTGAGACATTCACCTTTTATCGGTGAATATTGGTGCTTAAATTCATGTTCTAGTGCTCATTTACAGCAAGCAGAAACCTCTTCAACACACACAGTGGCCAATCAGCGATGAGAGCACTTACAGGAGCAGAATCCCTTGCAGCTGATAGGTTGTTCAGCTGTTAGTGTTCATAACTCTAATCATTACAATAATGAAATCCCTTTAGAAGAAGTGTGTAATTCCAAGTTAGAATACATTTAAATTTTATTCATCATATTTTAACACATCTTTTTGAATTTTATTAATCAAATTACTCACAGAAGGTGAACTATTTCTTTTAACACTTACCTTGCTTCAATGGTGACATGTAGCTCTTGCAGCAGAGAAGCCACACCATTTGGCTGCAACTTCAAATATTGACTTGTTGCTATCAATTATTCAGTTTTGAAATGCATACAGGTACAGTGAATCTTGGGTTCTCCTGTAAGAATGCCGACTGCAGAAGCAGAAGTTCATCCAAAGCTTGCGCCTGAAAAAGGGCCAGGTTTAATATATGAGTGAAATGAAGACTTTTGAATCATTTTATCATTATACCATAATCACATTTTTACCTAATTTGTAAGAAATAGGTTTAGGTTAGCAGAAATAGGTAAGGTTTTGACTAGACCCCCTGGGTCACAACAGGAGATGACCCTCGTGATTGGTGGGACCACCAGGCACCAGCACTGGCACAGTCCGTTCTGACCACCGCACACCTATCAGCCCGAGAGCACACTAAATTGCATGTTAAAGCTCCATTAATGCTTTTTTTCAATTTTGGCCATCCATTTTGTTGGGTCCGTCATGTCCATCACCAAGCCACATTTAAAATGCACTACACTACATCCCCCACCACCTGACCACACCAGGCCAGATCCGCACCGCGCTACACAAAATCCGCACTGCACCAAGCTAAATCAACGCCACACCAAAGCCTCACCAGCCGGACAAGCCAGCACAGACGAGATCTTGTCGAAATTGCCATGCTATGCAGAGTGCATACCGGCCTACCTGAACCTGACCTTACCCAACATATGAGCCTGACCAAGATACCTATAAGAAACAGGTAGGTCCGATGTTTTGAGTAAAGGTGGAGTAAAGCCCTGGTGACGTCACTGATATTTCTTATATGGAGAATTTCACCCGTAAAGAAAATATTTTACATACGAAAATTTGTATGCCATTAGGAAAAAATACAATCTCTCAGTCCAACCATGAAAATTATATAATTTAATTAATAAACTCGAAATCCTTCGAGTGTTTGTCCCAACCCCCTGTTATACCTTTGGTCACGTGACTACTATGGTACACTTTGCATTTTGCAAGGTTATGACTTAAACGGAAGTAATGAATGTTGCAAATGTATTATTTATGATGTTTTAGGCAGCAATCGTGTGAATATATCCTGAAATTATCTATAACCTGCTGAAAAGAAGTCACGTGATGTTACCAGATTGTGCTCGGACAGCATCTTCTTGAATTTCGATTTTGAGTACTTTGTACCTTCATTGAGGCCTAATAACGGACGTTTTTAGTTATAAAATGAAGCAGTAAATCTAATGAGGGCAAAATTCAATCATTTTTGCACTTTCAGGCTGGGCTATCCTGGCATGAACTTCGGCCAGTTTGTGTGTAAAGCCTATGGTGAAGGGAAAACTTCACGCCCGGCTGACGTCACAGACCTCGGCTACCAAATCGTGTCCGGTGGGGGTCGAGCCTGACTGTCCTTAGCACTGGGAGCTCATTGAGACCAGGCCCCACAGGCCTAGTGGCCTCCTGAAACCTGATTTCCATATGGGGTGAGCTATTTAAGAATGGTGATCGGATATCGAGCCCGAGACAAGACAGCAACGAGCAGTGGGCGGCTCATGCAACCATAATCATGTTTCCTTACCACAAGTATCAAAGCAAAAACAAAAATAGCTACCTATCGAATTCAAATTTCACTGGAACCTCACATGCAATGCATGGATCTTTAGTGAAAGGTACATCTTGATACATCTGCACGAAAGATACATCTTGATCCACTCATCTCAATCTTGTTTTTCTGCATCCAGGGCATGCAACATTTCTGGTCAAGGCCGTATATAGGATATCGCTTCTGGTATTTTTGGCACAACTTACTCGACTGCTGAGCTCAAATGCAAATTGCAATCACGGTCATAAAATACTGAATATTGAATCGCAATGTATATTCAGTCGATGTACCCCTCGTTCGATGTCTCTCAGACGACGAAGATTGTACGTCGTCCGGCCAATCCTGTTCTAGGTCAACGGGGGCTCGGCTGCAATTATGGAATGTGATTGGCCGAACGGCGTAGAAGCTTTGTCGCCCGAAAGACATCGAACAAGAGTAATGTCGCTACTGCGCCATTGTTGCATCGAATTCGCCCCATAGAGGCACGTGTTAACTCTCTCCCATAGGGCCCTGGGTAAACTCTCTCCATAGGGTCCTGGGTAAACTCTCCCCTTGTCTATTTTCTTTAAACGGGGATAGTTTGGACAACAAAATATTTTCGACCTCATAAAAAATAAAACTTAATTTTTGATGTACCTCATTGATGCAAAACATCAGAAAAACATTAGAAATTAAGTCAAAGAAACCGATTGTTTATAAATGGACAGCTGACGGCATGCCTCCCGTGTCCCCTGGCTTGAAGCTTCGGCTCCGTGTTACCTTAGTATTCTATGACCGTGAATAAAACTGCATTTTCACAGCCCAAGGTTGGGAAGAGATTTACCACATGCCGTACTGGCGCAATAGTTAATATCATATTCATTTGATAGGGTAGTGTGGGGTAATTTGAACATATTTTTACGTCTTCTCCATTGTACCAAATTCCAGTTCAACCCTGGATGAAGAAAAACTGCTTCAGTAGCGCAAGTGTCACTTGCTTTCACCATGCAAGCCTCATTTTTGGACGAGCCGAGCATACCTTGAATAGCATAGCCTCACTTCTCCACCAAGTCACGGTGTGTTCAAATTGCCCCACCGTGGGGTAATTTGAACATACTGCCTTTACCTGTCATAAAAACGATAGTCTCGCCAGCACCGATGTTGTTTGACCCATAAACAAATAGGCAGAACAATTCTAAACATACCTTCACTTGAAAAATCAACACAACAGCAAAAATAACAGTTGCAGAGTATCAATATCTGCACGCTGCACACCGGTCAGTTGACAGAATTCGCCCCTTTTCAATTAACAGAACGTCTATCATTTTTGTTCGATAAAAACTCTCCCAACCGTACTACATCTGTTAAAGTGGTGCCAATCGAAACCTGGACATTTGGAGTTCTGATTTTGTCCAATGTCCAATTCGGAATTGGTTGGACAAAGGTAGCAGACTGGACAACATTGGACGATGGCTTGCTACACTTCAGCGCTTTTTATAAAGTAGTCGTGCATAGCATTGATTGGCGAATGGAAAGCTTGTTAAGCTCTCAATATAATGAAAACTTTTCGGCTGGTAAAATTACATGATAAGCAATATAAATGACGGTTTTGAGTGTTGATAGCTGCATAAATTTTCGGACATATTTGGACAAATAGTTGACTAACATTTTTGGACGGAAAATCAACAAAAATGCCGGACATTAGACGGATATTAGACGTAAATATTTTAAAACTGGCATCACTTATCTGCTACTGCCTTGGGTCGAAAATATTGGCAAAAAAAAACTGGGAGCTTTGTATTTTTCGGAGCTATCCCTGTCTTCATTCAAATTCTCACACTATGTTCAAATTACCCCACGCTAAAAGTTATTTTGCCATTTTAAAAAACAGGGTTCAAAAGCAAATTTCTTGGATTGAAGGCACTGATTAGGTCATTATACAACAAAAGCCGTTGCGTATTAGGCGCTAGCAATGCAAGATTTTGCTCTGCAATGAAGTTGCAATGACGTGTTGTTAGGCGTTTTTCCTTGCGAAATTGATTTTTTACACTGTGCGTCAACATCTTCATTCCCTGAAACTTTAAACCCCGTTCATATGATAGCCCTTTTAGTTACGATAATTTCTCTCATTGGTCTTATTGTCATGCGACTTATGGATTTTCAGTAATTTTGTGTTATTCACACTATGTTCAAATTGCCCCACATGTTCAAATTACCCCACCCTACCCTATTTTACACTTTAATCTTAATATTGTGTTAATATTATATCAATACTATGTTCATATTTATAGTCACCATGATTATTATTTTTTGTTTTTCATTATTAGGCTGCGTTGAGTATGAAAGATGAAATTCCTACTTCCCCCTTATTTAGGGTTTGAAAAAGCTGAGGATGAAGATGGTGAAGCGCCAGAAGTTAGAATAAAGACATGGAGTCCAGCAGGAGTGAGGAAACCGTGATGAAAACTAAAAATTGGGTGAAACGCTGAATCAAACGCGTCTTGGATCCCAGCTGGAACAATATCAAATGTTTCATTGTGGCACGTTAAGATGCTTCACGCATTTAAATTGTTCGTTTTCTTGCGTGCATTATGTAGAAATAATTATTATTCCGAACATGTTCTGCAGCAATAAATACATTGGCATTGGAACGATAACCTTGTTTAGTTGAATTACGTTGACAGCAAAAGTATGTAAACACGCAGTCACTCACTTTTGCTGTTGCTGTTAGTGAACACACAATTCGTAAATATCTTCTTTGAAATTGGTTCTTCCGCTCAGAATATTCAGCAAAACTTTGTCTGGGAAAATCAAAAAGCCCTAGGGCCGAATCGTTTCCCAAATACCTTCAACATTAGCCGAGGCGGGCCGAAGCCATTTCCCAAATGCACGTGCTAGTGTTAAAGGGATATCTCGGCATGTGGTAAACCAGGGATACACGGAGGTGACATGCTGGCAGCGTTTATATATAAGAGAAAGTTATAAGACTTTATTAGAGACATTTTTGTTGAACTTTAGTCTACGGTGATAACAGGTGTGAGTGATTTGGAAACCGGCTTTCTCGTTATTGTCCCGGCTTAATGACCTGGATAGGACAGCGGTTGCCGACGTTTCTTTGTCAATGCCTCACGAGGCTCTCAATGAATCCAACTAAACCCCCATTCGTCTATTTTCCCGATGAAATGCAGTGAGTTTTATAACAGCCATGTGTAAAAGACGTGTCCGGCACGTCTGGTATGAAGTGACGCTTCATGTCTCAGAGAGCAGAATTCAATCCTGAAGTCATGCATCGCGTCAGCGTTAGGAGTTACCTAAAAAAGTATCGGAGACGGTCAGTACCTCCTCAGCTTTACCACGGGGCGCGCCCTACTGAAATGTAGCGCATTTGCGTGCGAGTCGACCGTTAGCCGACAAGGATTTACCGAGTTCCTGGCCATCGTAAATATTAAGTGAGTGATTTACGAATGTGCAAACCGTGACGGAAGCCCTCGCATTGGGTATTTCCCGTTCCTGGCACAGAGTCGATGAGACGACAGCATGCCATTCACACGGAGCTGTCGGTGGGGTGGGGGGGGGGGGGCACATTCGAGCATCATGTGAACGAGGCCGTGGGTCTTGCGCTGGCGTTTCGTTGACTTTGTTCTTTAAATTTTAACTGAATAGGCATTTTTGCTTTGGACACACTCAGCTAATGTTAGTTTAAAAAATCCCGCTGTTTGACAATTGAATGCACATCATAAATGATCTTTTTTGCATAAAGTTTATTGAAGCTATAATGGTCTCAAAGTCTAATGCGAGTGAACTGAAAAAAAACATTGCGCATTGCGAAACACCTTCATCAAGGCACATGCATAAATGTAGGACTTAAGATTTTTAGAGTGCTGTTACGTCTCAATTATGCCTTTCTTACATCTCAAAGTGAGCAAAACCATAAACTGTTCGCCACACGTTCTTATTTTGTATAACCTGGTACAACGGGTAATGTGCGTGGTGACCTATTTTCTCTCCGTCTCTGCCTCTTTGTGTGGCACCTACGGGTGTTCACTACCCCGCCTGCCCGGCTGACGGCCATTCACGTTTCTGTTTGTTTTCAGTTCCACCAGAGCGGCCGGTTATCATCTTCAACAGCAGGCCGGTGTCTGGTCGGGTGGGGCCTCTGCAGGAGGGAGACCGGCTCGAGCTGACCTGTCTCGCCAGAGGAGGTGAGTTCCTCTCTCGAGCTGACCTGTCTCGCCAGAGGAAGTGAGTTCCTCTCTCGAGCTGACCTGTCTCGCCAGAGGAGGTGAATTCCTCTCTCGAGCTCATCTGTCTCGCCAGAGGACGTGAGTTCGTCTCGAGCTCACTAGTCTCGCCAGGGGAGGTGAGTATGTCCCTCGAAACTGGCTTGAGATCACCTGTCTCGCCAGAGGAGGTGAGTCTGTCCCGGGACATCGTCTCGAGCTCACCTGGCTGGCTCGCCAGAGTGGGTGAGTTCCTCTCGAGACACGTCTCGAGCTCACTAGTCTCGCCAGGGGAGGTGAGTCTGTCCCTCGAAACTGGTTTGAGATCACCTGTCTCGCCAGGGAAGGTGAGTTACTTTCGAGGCAACGTCTCAAGCTGACCTGTCTCGCCAGGGGAGGTGAGTTACTCTCGAGACACGTCTCGAGCTCACCAGTCTCGCCAGAGGAGGTGAGTATGTCCCGAAACACCGGCTGGAGCTCACCGGTCTGATCAGGGGAGGTGAGTTCCTCTCTCGAAACTGGCTTGAGATCACCTGTCTCGCCAGAGGAGGTGAGTCTGCCCCTCGAGTGAGCTCATCTGTCTCGTCAGAGGACGTGAGTCTCCCTCGAGCAGGGCGGTCAGATTGAGTAGCTTTAGAAGGTTACTTATCTCGAGGAATTTCATAACCTATAGACGAAACGATTCTGCTAAACTACTAGCGGAGCAGATAAATTGCGGCTCTCTTGGTTCCACGAAACGGAGCTGTATCAGCTTTTAACAACGTGCTGACGGTGCGTTCAGTCACTTTACCTCTCACCATCGTAGCTTTCAACCACGCTGCGATTGTTCCATCAAAAGCACTTACCGTTTCGTTTTCTTCTGCTGCATAAACTGTCTGTCGGTATATGTCGGCGCCACTCGACAAAGCTTTATAATGCTCTTTCAGCGTTACCCTTTCGCGCCGGCTGAGAGCGCCCGCTCGCCATGACCCCATCTGGGGCCTGGTCCGTGGCTTTGAAGGTCACCCATCCAAGAAGGCGTCTGCCAGTATTACCGAA